TCTTTCCCTGGCCAAACTGGGACAGCTCTGACAGATGAGCTCAAAACACCCTCTGTAGGAAGCAGGCTAGTATTCAGGACCGGGGCGGGGCTTGGAGATTGCCATTCAAATATCTGGTTTGAATAAGGCACAGTGAAGGCTGGAGCCTTACCTGTGCTCCTGTGTCTCAGTTGAGTATTTATGGGATTTTTGTGTATCTATGAGAAAAAAATTAAAGCTTTGAATTCATCATCATACAGAATGGAAAAAAATGTGTGGGGTTTTTTTTTTTTTTGAGATAGCATAAATTTCCATGAAGCAAAGAAAACTTTTCCCACTCAAGTCTCACTTCAGCAGACGCTCAGGAAGTGTAATGCACTACTGGGGTGAGAATTGTTTATGAACATCCTGCTCCAGATTAGAAATGGGAAATCAAACTTCTGATTTTAGTCTTTTGTGATAAACTACTCAAAAACCTACAAAACGGAGTTCACTCAAAAGGGAACTCCCAATTCACATCAGTTTTCACCATGGTAATTAGCAGGTGGAGCTAGACTGATAAAATGGAGTCAGCAATCTTGTGTGTCTCAGGATATAACGTCACCCCATACAGGCAGGCTGGAGTGGAAAGACTGCATTTAGTTTTGTAAAAAAAAAAGAAAGAAAGATTTTCTGGGTCTAGCTGTGCAGCCAGAACTCTTCTGCTGCTTTGCTTCTGTCCACCTCTGTTTGTGTAGACATCTCACAGAGCAACACAAGAAAAGAATTATTTGACAAAGCAGGAAATTGTCCCTGTACAGTAAAGAAAAGAAGAAAAAAACCCAAACCAACAGGAAAAAGGCAGGTGTAATGCTCTGCTATACTACTATTAACCCAATTTGTAAAAGCAGCCCGACTAGATTTTGGAGATATGGGCATTTAGGGAAGGATGAGCAGGATGTTCATGATGAACGAAGTACAGGGAATGTATGTGTATGGTATGACTATCCTTGTCAGATTGTGTGGGACAGTGCTATGAAACCTGTTTGGATTTGCACACCCTTGAACATTTTCCAAAGGATTTGCTCCTCTTAGTAACCTTTCACGCACCCCTTAGGAGGAGTCTGTAGAGTCCTCAGTGGTCCCTGGACCACAGTTTGAGGACAGCACATCTAGAACACTGGAGTTAAAAAGACATTCTTCTTTCTGGAAAGAAGCCAATTCTTAAATATTGGTAGGTGGTCCACAAGGCAGGCTCAGCCCAAAGTCTCTGCCTAGCACTCAGGAGAGCTGTTGCTTCTGCCCATCAAATCAACATTGTTTCCTCCAGGGTAGTCTTTCTTCCTTGGAGGTTTCCTGTCTAAGCTGTGAGCACTTTTGTTTTATTTATTATCCTGGCTCAGGATGAAGGGTTTGATTGGCAGCTTTCTTTTTTTACAGTGCCAGATTATCAATGCCTGATTTTTGGCACTGGAATAAAAATTTGCTAGATTTGGCTGTTGTCAGTAAAACGAGGACCACGTGGCTCACACAGGCATTTCCCAGTGCCGCACATAGATTTTCCATCAGGAAAGAAATTACCGTGACACATGGAGCCAGCCTTCCTCTCCTTACGCTCTAAATTTCTGAAATAAGGAAGCTGAGGGGTTTTCAAATCATATAAAATTTCACTAGAAAAGTAGTGGAGAAGGAGAAAAGAGTGAGGCTGGCTGCTCAGCAGAAGCACACTCTGAGGACTGAGGTATCAGTCTATGGGTTCAGCTCCCACTTTGAGACAGATTTTTCTGGCTTACAGAGCAAAACAAGGGTGTTTGATATGAAGTCTCGCCCCTATGAAGTTCTACACAGTCCTGGTTCCAGGAAGCTGTGTCCTGTTTGTAGAAAGTAGGGAAACTACTAAAGTCAGGCAACCTGCTGCAGTGACTTTCTCCTCTAGTCCTGAGTTTCTCTGGGGCGGTACCTGAGAGCACGAGGGGATGGGCTGCAGCCCAGTCTGTCCCCTCTGGGGAGTCAGGATATGGCCTAGGCTCAGGCTGGGACCAGGACTTCTTGGTGTGTTGTGGAGCATCCTTCACCCTTGAGTTATTTCTTTGCCAGTCTTCGTTTCTCTGTGCTTCAGCTCCCTCCATCCTGGAAAATGGAGCTGATGATAATGCTTTTTTCTCCCTGCTCTTCACCTGTGGGCATCTGTCATGCTGTTTTCTGGAAAACAGGTACACTGAACAGCATTGTCTGTGGATCAATAATTACTCTCAGTGCTGCTGTCTGTGTTTTGAAGATCAACACAAATTTTTCCTCCCCTCTCACTTGCTGTTCTCATTATAGATGTACGCAGTGCTGGCCACAGGCAAGCCTTCAGTGGAGGCCTTAAAAGAAGGCACGTTCTGAATGAGCCCGTGATGCTCTCATGCGTAACAACTGTCTTTCCTTTCACGGAAAGTCAATGACTTGTGGGCTTGCAGTAATATGAATTTTCCACAGGTGTCTCATGTAGTTCCACTTCTTCCTACAGGCTTCCTCCACACACTCACTTATGTTCAAGCTCAGCATGAGTAACAGGCCCAAGTGTTAGCTAAAAGAAGAAGCAAACAAGCTGCTGATGGTGAACAATTTATTGAATGATCCTATACAATGTTTCTGCTTTAGGAAATACAAGTCTGAACCACATCCACTGTTAGTTTTTCCATAGACTTAAGCAGTCCCTACATCAGAGGCTGACTGAGAATGAGATTTGTTTTTTTATAATTAGTTGCTCTTAAGCATTCAGTTAATTGACACGCAGGTAGTCAGCTTGGTGCCAATTTACCATCTGTCTAGGCTGTAGTACAGTCATTATTTATCATATGCAGCTGGCCATGTTACTTTTCCTTGGCTTTTTAATTTC